CATCAAGTCTTTCATGGTCGCGCTGGTATGAGAACAGACGGTTCAAAAAGCTATAAAAGTGAACTGGTGAAGGCACCAAACGAAAAGGGTGGATGTGAATTCTAGAACTGTTTTGTGTCTCAGGAAGATGATGTAGACACAGTTGATATGTGAAATAGGTATAACTGTCAATCGTATACGAATGGGACGTCGTGGACAGTGAGTGGAATAATAAAAATTTTTTTTTTACGATTGTGCGATTGACTTTGGAGGAGTGCACCTGCCAGGCGTTGTTTGTGGTTGAAAACACACAAAAAAAGGCAGGGGTGGATGTGACTAGGGTAGGCCTAGCCACTAGTTACAAATCTGATAACGAACGATAAGCCGAGACGCAGTATTACAGTCTGATGCAACATAGCAGGTGGCTTATTGGATCGGACTGATAACAATCTCAAAGCCAACGCGTGCTATTTTGGGAAACGGTACGAGGGGATTCAGACAGCCTGTCAACTTTGATTGATAGGATGCAGATGTTATTTCACGGACTGTACGTTAGAACTGCGCAACTAGTGGTCGGAGACATCGAGTACAAGTATCGATTACGGAGGAATACAAGTACGAAGACGAGTACGGATACAAGGGATAAATAGGAGGGGACGGCTGAACTCGTTCTCTTCCCTCTTCATCGCTCGCTTTAGATCAGTCAGTCTGTGTGACATATCAAGTTGGTTATATTGTGTTAAGAAGGACAATAGACATGTGGATTCAGTTATATGAAGCCTAGTGAGGACTGTTAGGGGTCAGTTGATTCAGACTATTATTGTGAAACATTCCTGTTGATTCATTGTGTTATATTGAAGCATTTCTTGATTCATGTAATAAAAGGATCAATAGCGAACCTGCATCTTCGAGTCTTTCTACTGTAGTCGATGTTGTGTAGCATGAGTGGTTCAACTCGTTACAATTGGCGTTGTCGGGCAGGATAGACTCGGGGAAGGTCACATTTATATGTATATATATATATATATATATATATATATATATATAATTTATTTAAACATGCATATATTTATTTATTTATTTATAATTTATTTAAATATATACATATATTTATGTCATCAGAAATAAAGGTCATAAGCTTGAGGTGGCCTTAAGACTTATCTTAATTACGTAATGACACATACGCCTACATAATACTTTTAAAACTTGTATTTCCTGACTCAAAAACAAGTTTAATGTAGTTAAACCCTGCAACATTTTGTGGGGTGTTTTTTTTTTGGGGGGGGGGGGGAGGGGGGCAACTTTTTAAAAATAAGCGTTCCTTATATATTTGTTTTAAAACAATTTCTCCACATAAATCAACACATTCTAGATACTGTCACCAAAAGCGGTCTTATATTATACTTGTATTATCCTATATTATACTTGTATTATCCTATATTATACTTGTATATCCTGCATCTAATATATTTCAATAAGCACAAAACTTGACTTATATGGACATTGTTCTATTATTTGTCTAGGTATTTTCCCGACGCAAAACTTTATAGGGAACTGTTGTTCTGTCGTCTGAGGTCTTTGGGACTTTATCATTTCATTGTGATTTGGTCAATCCGATTGACGGGGAAATGCATGCTCGGATATAGATATAGACTCCTACACAAAAAATTCGATCAAATGTTAAAAAAAAAAAAAAAAAAACAAACTAAAAACACATGGTGGCACTAGCCGGGATGGCGTCACCACACCTAGTGACGTCACTGCCCGAATTACTACCTAGCTTTCTCCCCTGTTGTTATGGAATCTATTAATATTTCTTTTTAAACATTAGTTTTACATCTAAAAAGGCTGATATTGAGATGATATATTGTATTGTCGGATGATACTAAAATGCACCTTTTTAAATTTTCATTTAAAAAAACGACCCCCATTGTGGGAAAATTGAGATAGTAAATTTAAACATAACCCTAAGCCAGACAGTGACTTAAATTAGTTTGTATAATGGTGCTTTGGGCTTTAAATAAAAACAACTGAGCATCCATACTCCGAGTAGTAAAATGATAATGTTGCCAACTGTATAGCTCTAAAACTGCAAGTTTGTAGTACTTGTTTTTAAATGAATTTAGTTAATTTTATTTATTTTTTAATTCCAATTTCGTAACAATATTCATGCTTTGATGACTATCCCGCGATGATCTAAAATAGATTTCGGCCATTCGTTAAAAAATTACTTGATTGCATTAGCCAAGGTTTGCCTAATTTTTGTCTATTTTCAGCTCGATGATTTGTATCAACATAAAGTACGCAATTAAGGAGAGAGAATGTTGTCGATTTAGTAAATAAAATCTGCTTCTAACACGAAGTAACAGTGGATAACCAGCACACATGATGTACATTTTCTGATTTTCTATGTCATACCATGTTTAATTTGGTAGGCCTACAGAAATGAAGAAACTCTTGTCTAATAATGTTTGCTTCAGCTCAGTTGTCTTCAAACTTTTCAGCCCGAGGGCCGCATTAACTATCAAATAGCCGTTCGGGGGCCGAGAAAACACTATATAGAGGTCCAAATAAAAACATGGATGTTTTTAATTATGTATTTATTACGAGCCGACCCGCGGCGTATCATATGCCGCTATTTAATTGTTTTATTTTCTACTTTTCAGTAATTGAATGTTGTATGTTGTTTCGAAAATTTAAAGTACCTTGATGCAAAAGTTTTGGCATTTGGAAAATCGTCGGGCAAAATCTTGTTTTGACTTTTCTGGGCAAAGTTCCTCAGCCACCTCCAACAAACAATTCCTTGACCACTTCACCACCAGTAAACAATACGTTTTTGGAATGTTGAGATCGGCTGGAAGACTTACCGCACTACTGTCCGCCTCTATTTTAATTCGGTAAGGGCATAACGTCCACGTAAGCGGCGACTGATCTTGGCAGGATACATATACATTTACTCTAGACAAAAAGATCATGGGTCGTATGGGTAAACGGAAAAAAAGTCACAGGAAAAAAAAACACAGAAAAAAAGTCACAGTTTTTGCTAGGAAAAAAAGTCACAGAAAAAAAGTCACAGTGAAAAATTTTTATCGGAAAAAAAGTCACAGAAATAAAGTCACAGAAAAAAAGTCACAAAAATCTTTTTAGAAATATTTTTATTAATTTGTTAAGAATTGTAAAACTTTGTGTGTTTATTGTTGTGGGTTGTATTTTTTGATAGCATAAATTATTTATAGACGTTAAAAGCATTATGCTTATAACAATTGTAAGTAAAAATACTCTAAGATAATTAACACAACAATCTCAACTTTTGTTACATATTTAGTTAAATACGCGGTAGAAATGTTAATTATAAAAGAAATTTAGGCACATTTGCCGTAGGCTATTCTCTGGTCGGCCTCTCCTCAGTAGTCATTGTCCGAACATATTTTGTGTTGTTGATGTTATGCGTCAATGACAGCCTTTGGACCTTGTCGGCTTTCTGTTTTGATCCTAAGTTTTGTCATGTAATGAGCGTGATAAATGTGGGCAGTAAAGGTGGTTGAACTAAATATAGCTATTGTTGCCATGAGTTGAGGGCAGCAAGTCAGATGAACTTACCATTTCACGGTAATTTAATATTGGTATTAAAAAAAACACGATGAAAAACGTGGACTTTGGGGCATTCTATTAAATGCTACTAATCTTAAGTTTAAAATAATTACAATCTACATACTTCATAATAAATATTTTCAGATGAATTATAAAAATTCCTATGCGTATACAGCCTACACACATTACATTTAATTAATCCTAAGTTAATTTGCACTTTCTCAATATTTAATACATAAAAGTATTAACAAATATCATGCAAATATATATTTGTGACTTTTTTTCTGTGTTTTTTTTTCCTGTGTTTTTTTTTCCTGTGACTTTTTTTCCTACAATCGTCGTATGAGGGGCCTCGCGGGCTGCAGTTTGGAGACCCCAGTTTTAGGTGGACCATATAGTTATAGGTTAAAAAAACTATTGACACAAGTTAAGTATTACGTGGCAACCAGATATACATCACGTTGACTCTTTTTTTTCCAGTCCGCCTTTCTTTTTACTAATTTTAGTTTTAGATTCGATTCTGTAGAACAAACTACAGTGTAGCGGTTGTCTGATTATGGAGCTTTCTCTCCTGGATGGGTTGCTATCCCCAGCCAGATCTGCCCGGGGTTCGAAACAAATAGTAATAAAATATACTTGTGGAGCATAGAAACAAAACCACACCTCTCCATCGTACTCAGTTTCGACAGATACCTCAAAGTTGCGTTCACTTTTTTTAGTTGATTTTGCTTGTTTTGGTCTACCTACTTCACTCTTTCTGATGAAGTTTTAGATGCCTTCCACTTCCTGTTGATGTTGCTAGTTCGTAAACGCTAGGCGTGTCCAATCAATCCCCATTTGAGATTTTTTTTTAACAGACTAACTCATGTTCCATGATGTATTCAGAGGCACACAACCCCCCACAATGTATTTTTTGTTTGTAATTCAGATCTGCAGCTAAAATGAGCTTTAATTTTTTTTTTTCAACCCAATTTGGCACCCTTAGAGTCGGCGCCGGGGACATATGTACCCACCTGACCCTGAATGTATTCAATGTCTGTAACTATTATTTACTTTCACTAGATATGTAAAACGATCAACCTCTAAAATTATTTAATTCTATTGAATCCTGGTTAAAGTCTGTACAGTATCCCTTATTCCACCTAGCCATGATGGGTACCTAAGTTAGAGAAAGTAAAAGCGCTCCACTCTTATGCCGAGGTAACAGAAATTACATAGGCAAATTCTACTTGTTTAGCTTGCTTTGCTCGGACAGAGGATATGCAAAATATACATCATCCACCTGTCAAGTAAGAGTCGATTGATTTCAATCCGATTTGCTTACTTAAAAGTCAGAAGTCAAAGAGCAAAATTTTACCATACTGCGGAGATGGCCACAACACCTAAAGACTGACTCAAACAACAGACAGCAATAATAAATCAATTCAAAGTAATGTTATAACATTTTAATCTGGAACTCATTCTATACTCTTGATGGGTACATCATCTGTAAAAGAAAAATAAATATATGAATTAATACTCTGTTGACAAATACCAGTCCAATGAACTAGAAATGTGTGTGGTACAGTCACATCATGTCCTAACATTTTCTTACTTCTACATAGTGACTCGTAAAAAGATTTAAAAAGGACACTATATTCTATTCAAGTCAATGTTTTCTAATATTTTCCCGAAAGTGAAGGCACATAAAGACAGGTGCCATTATAAAACCACACAAAAAAAAGTAACCTTGCCCTTAAAGAAATTATTTTGGCAAAAAAAAAAAAGGGGATCAAAATGAATGGTGGAAAATTATCAGAATGGTTAGTCAGCAAAACATTTTCTAAATGGAAAAGGCATATTTTCTCAGTACAATAGTGAAAATCTATGTATCATGAAAATACCGTACATGTATTTATAGACTAAGCAACATATTAACTCATGACAAAAACCTTCCCCTGAACCAAAGGACGGAAAAATAACAACTTTGAAAATTATTTTTAAAAATTGTTTACTGTTTACGTTAAAATGCAATATAAACATTAGAAACAGACTTGAGCAAAAGTAGAATGTGCATACGGATACTACTTTGTTAAGCAGAAAATAAATACTTAAAATACACAGGGCATTAGGTCCCATACTCAGCAGATACAAGTATTATGAAAAGGTTAAGTAATGTTATCTTAACATAATATACCATAATCTACATACTACTACTTCATTTCAACCTACTTTAATAAATAATAAAACCACAACTGTAGCTGTTACACAACATTTATGCCATTAATACAGACCAGAATAAATGATGTAACAACAATTTAACACTATTTTGGATTCTTTGGTTTGCTTTCCAAGCTCATGTGTTCCTGACAAGTTATATACTAGGCCATAGAACAACAAATGCTAAATCAGTGGGATAATAATTTAATTCAGTCTTAAATATAGTGCACATAATGGGTTGATCATATTCAATGTTACTCCATTTTACAAACACCAAAAAGAACATTTTTCAGCTTCATAAATGAAAAAATTCTCAGAACATTTTTTCCTAAAATATTGTTCATTTTTATAGCTCCTGCAATCCTTACAGCCGACATTTTTAAAATGAAAACATAGGCTTGAGATGATTAAGACCTACACATTGAATCAGAAACAAATGACTAAAGGAAATAATCACATTTTCATAGCTGCTTCAAAAGATATTTTCGCTTTTTTTTTTTTTAACTTAGATGAACAAATGTAGTGGAAAGGTAGAACGATTATTTTTCATTTAAAAAAAAAAAACATGGGACAATTCCAAGTATGACTGAGCTGAAGACTTATTAGCAACACTGGCAGTTGTGTAATGTCTCATTTGGCCACATTAGAAGCAAATAAGACTCTGGGCCACAAACTAACTCCACAGACATACTACTAAAGACAAATCTAAAACTCCACTGGGAAAAAAACCCACTATAGTTAGTAGAAAAAAAAAACCTACCACTCTGATTCTTCTGCCCATTGCTTTGCTTGGCAGGTTCTTCCTGAACTTGGCTCTAACAGCACCACTGTTACCATGGGGACGAGTTACTTTGCCCCAGATAACTCTAAGCCGACTTGGTTTATCATGACCAGGACAGGCTGTCAGCCTATTTTAACGAGAAATGTTTTGATGTAAATATGAATAATGGCATAAACAATTAAAAAAAACCACAGAGACAAAATAGAAAGTCTGCTAACCTCTTGGCCTTGTAGACATAAGCACACTTTTTTCCAAGGTAAAAATCTGTCTCATTCTTAGTGTTGACACCTTCAATTTTCAGAAGAGCAATAGATTCATGCTGGTTTCTGTGTCCTCTTTTGTAACCAGTGAATACAGCTTTACAGTATAACCTGAAAAATGTTATGTTTTTGAAAATGTAATTTTAAAAATTTAATTTAAAAACCTGTGCACAACAAAATCTTGGCTGTGAATATGACAAAAAGTGTAAGAGTAACAATCAGTAAAAGCTTTAATATAAACAAGCCGACTTGTGGCGCAGTATACACATCTATTTAGTTTTTATTTTCTACTTTTCTGTAATTCCAAATTCGTGTGAATTCAACACTACGAAAGCTGAGACTAAAAATATTTTGCTTGAAAACACTGTCAGTAGCTTGTAAAGGACAATTATCCTCACCCCCCCCCCGTGAAAGCAGCCGTCCATGACGAGTTTACAGACAATGAAAAGATCATGAAGAACTTGTTACCTCCCCTGAGTTTCAAATCGTTTAAAAACTAAATAATCTACCCTAACAGTCATGACGGATAATTTTAGATACCGGCCTGGATGAGTCGGTGCACACACGGTGGTGTCCCGCATGGTCTCACGTAGAGAATTATTTATGTAGTAGTTTTTCTTACTAAATCTAGAATTTACTCAAATTTCAAATTAAACATGACTACTGAATGATAGACATCCATATTTAATCCATTAGGCACTAATTTTGAAGTTTTTAGTTCATTTTAAACTAAATTACTTAATTTAATATTTATTGACACTCACTGCCATGGCCAACACACCTCTCCATGACAACTCTACTTAAGCTTGAACGTAAAGAAAACCACAAATAGGTTAGACTTTTTAAGTGGCCATGTACCCAGAGTTCCCCACTAGTGATCATCAAATAGCGGTCACGTGGTTTAAAAAAATAAATAAATTTGGTTGTCATTCAAAAGTCGTGTCTTATTTTAAAAAGTGCATGCAATATTTGATTTATTTCTTCATATAATGATAAAACTAATAATTCTACAACCTCCAATTCATTTTTGTGACCTCCGGGCTGATATTTTAGAAGTTCTATTAATTTGAATGAGACCGACTTTTGAATTTAGCCTCCGTTCTCCAAACCAAATTTTAAAATGCTTTTCTGGCATATCTAACCCTGCCACTTATGGTTTGTTGTTATGACACGGAAATCCCGCCATTTTGCGCGTGGTAAACATTTTTAAATGTAATTAGTTGAAGGCCTCTGGAATTTGGCCGTAAAATCGCCGGAAATCAAACGTCCGGTCCGGGCGCCATATTGTTGTTAGCAACCGACCACGCCTCCAAGTTAGCGAGAAATACTATTATGTAGCTAAAACAATACTCACCTTCCTGACTTTTTGGGAGCATTCGGCTGTGATTGTTTCTCGGCCATTGTGAAACCTGCAAATAAGCAATTTTTAGGTGCAGTGCAGCTTTATCCTCAATAAATCAAAAACCGTTCTAAAGAAATCGCAAGCTAGTTTATTTCCACACTAAACCCTCTTTCCCTACTACTAGAAATCGAGATTTAGAAATCTAGGTTCTAGACCAGGTCAAGAATCTTCAACGAGTCACTTCCGACGATTGCTAGTGTCAGTGAACACGAACTATCGAAAGGAGCCGTTTGAAAGAGTATGGAAAATATTTGATGATCTTAAATTCAACGGTGATAAGCTAAATTAGATCTACCATTAAAAATTTAGATGCATATGTTGATTATTTATCCAACACCCATCTTCATAATTCTAATCCTAGCTATTGTGTATCGATAACAGGTTTCTGTATTAAAACACAGAGCAATCCGAAAATATTACAGCTTTGTTTAACCATCGTGTCAAAATAATTAATCCGTTGTAACCTTTAATTAATTATTTTAAGGATATGTTGTTTGACAAATAGTATATTTGTTATTTCTTGGTAATAAAATATATTTCCAAAAATGCAACTTTAGTAAACCTACCCTATTCACGAACCGGAAATAGAAAGAAAGAGAGCTCTCTATTACCGGAAAGTCTTAACTTAACACGCATGCGTAGTATACGGTAACGAGGGTAAACAATGGAGCCTCCAAGTCTTGATCTTTTTTTTCGAGACTAGACAGATTAAAAAGTCAATATATAGTACTTGAATAAAGTTAAGAAAGTAAGATTAAGAATTGAAAAAAGTTATAAATTAAGCAACGTGTTTGATTAGTTTCGAGCCACCAAATGACGCAGTAAAATTGATATTCTAGTAGAATAAGACAATAAGTTAAGTAGAGTACTCGACGTAAAATGATAAAATCGGCCAAGGCTCGATGATTTAAATGTGTAAGAAAGGTGACTCATTGATATGACTTAAATTAATACAAGGAAATTGTAATATATTTGAATTATCTGTGTCAAAGATAATTAATAGGCTAAAGGCTAATTTATAAATTTAATAGATATTAGATAGGCCTAGGCCTAAAGTTAATAAAAAGTCTAGTGACAATTTAAGCGCAATTTCCTTATGCCTTATGTTATCCATAACAATTTTTAATTTTTTGTGACCGAACGAAAGGATATTTTTGAAAACTTTCTTCAGCAATATTGTTCTAAATTATGGCAGGAATAACCTATATCAACGGTAGGCCTATACGATGCTCAGTTTAAACAAGTAGACGTTACCTCACACTAGCGACTGCCTCAGCCGGTGTGCTTGGTTTGGAACTTCACCGCTTCGCTTCTTCTAGTGGTGAGAGGCGAAGGGATGAGGGTGGTAGAAATATTTGTATATTCTTAATAATCTTAGCCATTACAAATTAGAAGAAATTAATTTTTTGTGACCAAACGAAAGGATATTTTTGAAAACTTTCTTCTGCAATATTGTTCTAAATTATGACAGAAATCGATTGGTAAATGTTTCAAGTCGCTAAGTGGTCTGATTGCCGAGATATGGGCCAAAAACTGCATTTTTTTGAGGTTTTTTGGCTTTTCCGGGAAATCCAGGAAGGAATTCCGGAAATTTTTTTGGCCTATGTTCATCCTCGGAACTTGCTTAACATATTTGCTTTTGGAACTAGTCCTCGATATTGCTTCGTTGAGGAGAAGATACAACTTAAAGCTGCGGACACGCTGCGGACACACATCCATCCATCCATCCATCTATCCATCCATCCAGAAATGACGAGTTAATAATCGCAATTGTCCGTATGGAAATTGCGCTAAAAATACACCAACAGCAATGTCTATATAATAAATAAATATATTAATTCAAAATAGATCTAGATTCTTGGCCAGAAAGTAACTTAAAACTTAAAGTTAAAACTGCAGTGTGAGTATTTGAGAGCAAGATTTGCTTTATACTATATAGATCTATTAAATATATAAACAGCAGCCATCTGTTAATTTGAGTGGATTACCCTGAATCTCTATTTAATGATTATAATTATCTTGGTTGCAAAACTTGCATCTGATGAAAACATAGCTTATCTTTATTTCATACTAAAAAGTTTTAATAAAATTGTTTAAAAACATGTTCATGAAACATTTTTGTCACTATTAAAACCCAAATCCTCCAAAAAATGTTAAATTAATACCGAAATGTAAAGAGTCATTTTTCTTTCCCGTTACTAGTGGTGGATGATTTTATGTACATAAAATGATAGATTACCATAAAATTAATTAATTAGCAACCCCCCCAATTAATTTGTAATTTACTAGTAGCCTGTTACTTGACTTGCTTTTTTGCCTACAACAACAATACAGTGATTCCATTTTTCTAACGTTTCATGGTCATTTCAGATATATATACTCATAACCTTAAAAAAATAACTTGATCAAGACAACAGCTAAGTCCGCCTATTTTGCCTGCCGTGTATTTGAATGTGAAGAAATCTAGTAGACGACACATTTCTGCTAAATGGCAGTGAACGGTCAATTGCGTCACAACAACACTCCTTAAAATCTATCCCACCATATCAGTCATATCGTAGTTTTTAATTTTTAAAGTCATCTTGAACAATAATGAAGTTTAAAATTTTAGGTGCCACACTATTTACTAGCCGTAAGTACTAAAGTAGACTAATTAGCATACTAAAATAAAATACTTAAAATACTAAAACATTTATAGTAAATTCACTAAATTACCTAATTGCCTAATTCTAAAAATTAAATTAGTGAAAAAATGTGGACATTAGTAATTAGTAATAATTACTATTCCCATTGCAAAAGATTTTGATAAAACTAAACATAACTGTAAGTCATCATATTAAATTATTAAAACACATCTTAACACCACAAAATGCCACTAATCTCATGTATAATAATAATAATAATAATTTTCACTTTTCTATTACTTTTCAGATGGATTTTTCACCAACATTATCAGGCGTGGATGCCATCCACATAGCCACAGTTTTTGAAGATTGTGTAGACCAGTTATCTGTTCTAGGTCGGATTATGCCTACATCATATGAGGCTAAAACAGATGCTTTAGAGGTGAATTAATTCTGTTGACTCTTAAGTGTTCTTGCAAAATATGAAATGGTTAATTAACAAATAATCATTTAGTATTTTTTGTTATCTCCTTTGCAACAATATAGTCTACAGATAATTTGCTGCATTGGAAAGAAAATGTTTAATGAAGAAGAGCTTAGTATCTTATTATATGATTGTTTTTTTCATTGACAAAAAAGAATCGAATTTCGTTGTCACATCTTCAGTGTTCACGTCTTCAAATCAGATCGCTTCTACTGGGGAAAATTTTTCTGCTTGCCTATATTTATTTTTACTAAAAATATAGTGATAACATAATATAATATAAGGGTTAATGGGTGTTTAAGGGTGATTAAGGGAGTTAAATTGATATGAGTTTAGGGATATTGGTTGGAACTAGAGAGATGTAAAAATAAAAAAAGTAAAGAATCCATTTGGTAGATGAAATAGAGTTCATATGTTTCTTGACCTCCACATATGTAGGCAAGTTGTGATCAGCCGCCTTTACTTTCCTTATCCTTAACATGAGTTAGGTACTCTTCAGAGTTGGGTAGACTAAGGGACGTTCTACTGATCAACTTGAACCTGGATTCGAACTCAAGACTTGGGTTAGCAGCCTAGTGCTCTACTTCTTACACCCTGCTGTCCCATGAATAGATCCATGTAAGGGGAGTTATAACTAAAATTGGAGGTATAGGAATGTTGAGTTAAAAAAAAAATTTATGATGAAAAGAACAGTTTTGATGTTCTTTAATGTTAAGATATAAATAATATATTGCTGTTGTATAGTGTTTATAAACCCAAGACTTGATCTGGTAATGTAATATCACAGGTTGTTAGAGGAGAGCTTTTGCAGTTGGTTGATTGCCAAAACCAGCTGGAGAAGAAATATCAGTCTGTGCTTGCTAAGAAGATTGAACTGCTTGGTACCACCAAAAATGCTGGCAAACTTCTTTCAGTGGAGAAGGAAGTCATGGATGCTGGTGGAGACTTAAAAAATTCTGCTTATGTTTTTGGAAGAACTTTAAAACAGAACCCATTAACAGCTGATAATTTAATGAAGATTCAAGAAGATAGGTAATTTCTTTCTAAACAAAAATTGTAGCTCTCAAAATAAAATATGTAATTTTAAATGCACCTTGTGAACTAAAGTGTTCACTGTGTTATAAGGGGATAAAGTATATTTAATTGTTTCTAGCCAGGCTAGTACATTTTGCTAAGTTATAAGCTAGATACAGTTTACTTTACATGTAATAATTTCCAGTCTGTGTATCATTTATTCTTGTTAAGAAAATGTAGATTTTCCGTTTGAAATTTTAACACTAATACCCCAAAACTATAGTCTAAAAAGTTTGTAAATATTTTTACTGTTAAGTATTTCTATATAACTTTATAGTTAATTTTAAATTGACTTTAGTGTCTTAGCAATGCACAACACAGCAAGCATTAATTGATTATCAAAGCAGACTTAAAAATATAATGGCTATATTTATTTCAGAAAAGTGAAAAATGAAAAATAAACTAATCAGGTGATTTTAGCATAATTGTTTGTATTGGATTTTATTTGGTATTTTTTTTTTAAATTATTTTTCATTTAGCTTTTGTTTGTGATTATTTTGCTCATTGAAAAAAATCAAAATAATGCCTTTCATTATTTTGTGATGCTTCATACTTATTTTATTTATTTATTTTTTTTATAACACTACTTATAGAAAAGATGTATCGCTATTTATTTTGTTACTTAAATGTAAATGTTTCTTCTTCCAGGTCTTATGTTGAAAGAATAATAGCAGACACTATGACAGAGTTGGTGCAGAAATGTAGCTTTCAAACAATGGTAGAGGCTGTAAAGGCAGAGAGACACAGAAAAGCTTCTCTACAGAGTACCATACTCCAGTATGTATCTGTATATCTCTGTAGTAACCAGATATTCTACAGAGTACCATACTCCAGTATGTATCTGACCAGATAGTCTACAGAGTACCATACTCCAGTATGTATCTGTATATCTCTGTAGTAACCAGATATTCTACAGAGTACCATACTCCAGTATGTATCTGTATATCTCTGATATAACCAAATAGTCTACAGAGTACCATACTCCAGTATGTATCCGTATATCTCTGTTGTAACCAGATACCTACAGAGTACCATACTCCAGTATGTATATGCATACCAATGTAATACCATATGTAACCAAATAGGTTGTACATTGATCCTTGTGCAACAGTCATCCTTGATAAATCTGTTTTTGAAAGATTCGTAGCCTGTGTAGGCTTATTTTATAATCCAGCTTCCTGTGACTCACTGTTTTAAATACAACTAGATTACTTGTTACACTTGGATTACTGTGGATTTTGGGGGTCATATATAAATAACGTCACATTAGTTTGACAATTTTTATCTTTCCCCTCTCCCTCCCCACTGTCACACTTCGTCACAAAAAGCCAGACTCCACATTTAAAAGTCGGCACACCTCAGACAACATGTTTTTGTCTTATCAAAACACAGATTATGATTGAGCATGGGTCAGACCACACAATCCCTTCATATGTTGATTAAATAACTTATTAGCTTACTCTGCTATAGCATGGAATACCATTGGAATAAGTGTAATGTTAAGGTCTACATTTTGTTTTATATCAGCTTCTTTTTTTCCTCACCAGAGAACAGGAGGGCAGAAAAAGAGTTAAGGAACTTCAAAAGCAACTCATGGATGTTAAAAGGTCCAAGGAAACTGAGATTCAGCAGAGGAAAGAAATGATCTCTCATTTGAAAGATCAGCTACAGGTAACTCTTACTGTTTTAAAAAGAGACCAGTGTAAGTTACATAACTCTTAAGAGTCAAACTCTTATTGTTTTAAAAGAATGTTTTAGGCAACATCATTCTGTTCAAAAAATGATGCTTTGATTTTTTAAAACATATATAGACTTTGTTTGAAGGCATGAGTAAAGTCAATCTCAAACAGATCTTGACTTTAACATTTTAAAAACAAATACCCTTTCTCTTTAGCATAACAAGGTTAAATTGTAGGCTATTTGCTAACACTGTTTTAAAAAAAAAAAATAATTAACATCACTTACAGATATAATTTACCATTTTTATATGTATATACATAATATTAGTAATTTCCGTTTTATTATAATGATGTTTATCAGACCTTTTCGGAAACAGTTCTTTTTTATTATTTACTTAGTGCACTTTACAAATTACCAAAATTAGGAAGACACACACAGATTGAGAGGATTATAAAAAAGAGAAATGAAATTTTAAAAATATAATTGCTATAATATAAAACTTTGTTTATGATAATTATCATAAAACTTTGTTTATGTTAATTACTAAACTTTTATAAATTATTTTTAAAATTAGGAAATGAAAGCAAAAACAACAATGGAGGGAAAGTACATTAAAAAATGTGCAGATGTGGCTGTCGCACAGTCACAGAAAAGATGCAACATGACAGAAAAACAGATGAAAGATGAAATTGAGGTAATCTAATACAACTTCAACCTGTTAAGATTAAGTTAGACCAGAAAGTCACAACTCACTGCACAAAAACTGAACAGGGATGAACGGAACAGGGTACCCAGTACAAACAACATTCATCCCATTCATCCCACTTCACTTGTTCACTGCTGCATGAATGAGTTTATTTCTATTATTTAAACAGAGGTTACAACATACACTGGATGAGGAAAACAGAGCACATAAGGAGATTGTCAACTTTCTACAGGGGCATCAGACTGTAAGTATGTAGTTCAGATCATGCTTATACTAATGTGGGGTTCAGATCCTGTTTATAGGGTTCAGATCCTGCTTATAATAACATGGGGTTCAGTTTCTGCTTATATTAACATGAAATAAATTCAATTGAATCAAAGAATAGTTTACGTAACAACTTATATAAAATTGATTTTTTAAATAAAAAAAAAGATGTTTGAGCTATTAGTTTTGAAAATATTGCAGGGGAAGTAATTTAGTTAAATGCAAAATATATAATACAAACCATTTGCTGATAGATCTAGTAACTGTAATAGTTTTTCTGTTACAGATAGAGGAAATATACAACTTGTTAGTTCATACTGTAAAGATATATTTAAAGAAATATTGGGAAATATTTTTTGATATAAAGAAAGAGAAAATACCATTTTTTGTGAATAACTTTATTAGTTAAATCATTAAAATTACTTGTATTTTTAAAAATTTGTTTATGCTTAAAAGTTAATCCTAGTAAATGTTACTTCTTTTACTTAATCCTTGCAACACAACTGTTTCTAATCCAGGATTTGGAGAAAAAACTTGACTTCTGGATTGAGAAATATGAAACAGATAAAGAGGCTAAGCAAAAAGAGCTGGATACGTTGAAACAAACCAAAGCCAAGGACTTGGAAAAGTTGCAGGAACTCACTAAACTGGTAAAGTTAGTTGTTAGCCAGCCTCTCTTTCTTGGTCTTATATAAACCTACAACAGACCTTGGGAAAATAACATCAACAATTCTTTCTTTAGCATCAGAGTTTTGATGTTAACATTTTCTAACTTGGTAAGCCATAACAAACTACACAAACAACCATAAAAATTTCTGCCAAATTATTAAAAAAATTGTTTAAAAAAATTTGTAAAACGAGGTAAAATTATAATAATAACAACCATCGTAAGTTAATTTCCACCAGAATAAAGAGAAGAAAACAAGCTTTGAAGTAAATCTTTGAGGGCGGGTTGCTTGATGATGCGATTCCAAATTTATCTAAAAATTAGAAATTAAATATTTAAATGTATCAAAACCTGCTTTCTAATGTATTCCAAAAGAAAAACTGTTTTCTGAATTGTTTTAAAAGACATGTTTCTTGATCTCCATCTCTAGTACAAAGAATATGAGCAGATAGTTGTAGAGGACAGGATAGAGAAAGAGAAAGCTAGAAGAAAAACAGAACAAGAGGCAATTGAACTCAAGTCATCAATTAAGGTTTGTAATCAGTGATTTGTAGTTACAGACATAAAGTTCAGTAATTAGAGGGTAATAGCCAGTTTAAACTCACAAAAACAATCACCTATTCACTAAGTTTTTTATTTGAACCTAATTGCAGCTGTGTTTATTATTTTAAAATAATAGAAGTAGTAATGTTGTAATTTACTTTCTAAAAAAACAGTTACAAGCATGGTGGCGTGGTGTTATGGTGCGCAAAGGTTTTGGTCCATTTGGCAAAAAGAAAAAGAAAGGCAAGAAAGGTAAAGGTAAAGGAAAAAAGGGAAAAGGCAAAGGTAAAAAAGGAAAGAAGAAGTAAAGGATAAAATATTTTGTGTGACACTGATTAAGATTGATAAAAATAATTATTCTAACTGGTGTACATATAAATAATATAAGAAAGTGTAGCTTGATAAACAGATTGACAACTTCAATTGACCCATAAATAAACAGCCATATTGTTTTGATCATTTTAGTCTTTAGTAAAAGTAAATAAATTAATGTATTCTTACATATTTTCTCTAGTATTTATATTGATACTGTCATATAGTAAACAAAAACTGTATAAAGAAAAAAGATTTTTAAAAATTTATGAAAAATGGATTTTCAATGTTAGTTTGAAGAATGTGTAAAGATTTGAAAAATAAAAAAATCTGTTTTCATTTGGTGTCAGTTTTAAAAAAAAAATTTTCATGGTATATTAAATGTTTTTAAATCTGTTTTGGAAAAGCCTGTTATATCTTCAAGTTGTAGAATGCCTGGCCAAGAAAGGCTAAATGGGGAAGGGGTTTTCAAAAGTCTGCCTATAAGAAATGTAATTTTAAATGAATCTACAGAGCTATCAACTTAGTGTTATAAAAATTGTTACCAAGCATCTTTGTTGCGATTTAATTGAAACTAATTATACCAGAAGTTAATATACCAGAAGTCTACCTTTGTTAAAAATAAACCGGGAGTGATCTCCCCTAAACTTTCTCAAATATTCTTATATAAAACAACAGGGGATGGGAACTCGGGCTATAGACATGATTTTTAATCCATTTTAAATACTTAAAGTTATAAAAATAGAATAAAATCTCGTAGACAAAAGAATTGCACACCAAGTGAACGCCAAATAAAAAAGTGCATAATAGTGCGCTATATTATTAGTACTTTAAAAATTTACATTCGTTTTTTGAGAAATCGGAAGTAGCGTAAATTACTACTTCCGGTCAACGGAAATTACTCAAAATTTAACAGAAGGTAGAAAATTAGATCTTTTACTCACATGTGAAATTTCATTTATCTATCTGAAATAGTACTCAAGTTATAGGCTTTTGAAAAATTCAAAGTAGAAAAAGTACCACTTCCGGTTATCGGAAATCGCTCAAAAGTTGATACGGATCTACAATTTTGATAAAATACCTATATATGAAATTTCATCAACCTAGCTGTAACGGTACTAAAGTAATCGTGTTTACACACACACAGACACACAGACATATGGACAGGATTGCAAAGCCTAGTTTTTCAGAATGGATTATGTATAAAACCTCTTAATTTTGATAAATCTGGATTGATAATTTTTGCCCGATTAAAATAAGTCCTCTATACTTCGGATGTGATGAAGGACTGAGGTGTAATACGGTGAAAATTGTTAAAATTTCAAGAGATTTTTTTGCACGATTACAATACTTTCTCTATACTGCGTATAAACGAGAAAGTAAAAATGATGTGATGTACTCAGTTGTAAGTGCAAGCTCACAGAGTACTCAGAAAGTGCTTCCCAGGTGATCCTCTAACATTGCTCCTACCAATATTTTTAATTTTAAAGACTGATAATATTGTGTGCCTTACATTCTTCAATTTTGTATAATTTGCAACACCAGCTCATGTTCATGCAAAATCTACTATAAAATGGGAAACAAACACACACATTTAAATACTTTAAAAACTTTTATTAGCTTGAAACTTTTGATTATCTAAAGACAATATCTATACTTGATATAAAAATTTAAAAAGTATACATAAAAAAAAACAACCTGGAGACACATGCCAGGTGCCAGGAAATACTTTTGGACATTAAAAAGTTTAAATGTCCTGAAACAATATCTTCTGTACTGGAAATGAATATAACAAACCCAAGTCTGAACACGCTAACAGCTTTTTAAAACTGCAAAACAATAAAACTAAAAGTAATCTGAAATTTGTGCAAGACAATAAAACTAATTATCTGAAATTTTGTGACACTAATTGGTTATGAGTGTAATTTATTTTGATGCACATTCAGCATAATTTAGTGACCATTAACAAAAATTTCAACTGTTTAACTTCTCTTCTAAAACGTTGTATTATCCATGTTAGTATTTTTTAAATCTATTGTTAGTATTTTTATGATTTCATAATGTAATTATGTTCTCTGTGTCTTGATTAGAAGCTTGTTTGTGTAAGTACAAGCTATGAGATTCATAAGGTATTGGTACATTGAAAAATATCTCCCATTTGTAACAGTATCAGGGTGTGGAATGATAAACTATTGGAATGGTCAACTTTACAATTGATATGGATTTATTTTACTGAGACAAAAATAACCAACAAGATCCAATAGAACACACTGGCAGCAAACATCATAATACACTATCAAATGTATTCTCTACAACATAATTTACCTACACCAGTGCCCTGCATCAAAGAAAATTTTTGTAGGAATATACAGCAAGAAGGCAGAGCAATGGCTGTGGGATTCCCACCTGAGACAAACTGGGGGGGTGGGGGGTTTGGGGGAGCATTGTCTAGAACAGGAGTCTTCAAACTACGGCCCACGGGCCGGATGCGGCCCACGATGTCCTCTCATCCGGCCCGCGGAGATCTTTTTGTGATGGCTGAGGAACTTTGCCCAGAAAAATCAAAGACAAGCCTGGAATAAACTGGCCCCCGAACTGAAATTTGATTGTTAATGCGGCCCTCGGACTGAAAAGTTTGGAGACCCCTGGTCTAGAAAATAAATTTACAAACAGGGCATGGGTTCCAAAACCAGCAATTGACAGAGGTTCTATTCTCTGCCATGACATCTTATACTGAATTTTCAAAATTTAGTATTACTTTTGTATTAATTGAGACTCTTAGGGGATAAGTCTAATCCCCTGAGGCAAATCTAAGTCGTTATAATTAGTTATTTACTTTTCTTAATTAATAGTTGACAATTAGAATTGAAAGATAAAGAAGAGTAGTGGTGTGGAGTATTCTAACCTAAATTGTGCAGGTAAGTTGTACTTTCTAAAATAAATTTTAAATATTGTTCACAATAGGTTCACAACTATATTCAATATATAATTTAAAATGCGATATACAAAACATACATTAAAAGGCTAAGGCAGGTAATATAAACAGTTATTTAAAAACAAATCTGCATCCATGAAGTCATCTATCATATCTACAAACAGGCACTAAAGCCAACAAACACATTGAGAAAGATGGCCATTCTACTGAATGTTCAGGTCAGATCGCCATATAACTTATAAAGAAAATACATCTTTTGTTGTATGTAACATAACATTTTTAAGCTACTTTAACAAATGGCTTTTAAATGCACTAAAATTGAGAAAATAAGCACACTTTTGTTTAGCTATAACAGTAGAAGCACTGGTTGCTTGCCCCGACACAAAGAACAACTTTTCTGATCTCTTTCCAATGGCCCTGTCTGATACAATTCCATTTTTTAAATTCTATTCCCTCATGCATTTCTTTAAACAAGGGGTGCTACTTATCTCTCATAGCAACACCAGGCATAAAACTTACTAAAATACAAATAGCCTGATTCAGATTTATATTTAAATTTCTTTGTATTTTGTGCGGATCTGTAATTATTGACACGATGTGTTCAATAGGTTGATACAGATGGAACATTTTTGATAAAAATTTTGATAAAATCAAAAGTTTATTAGCATAAAATGAGTCTGATAATTAGTCAGACAATTGAAAAATGAACAGGATAGCTTTTAAATCTAGCTCAATATATAGAACCTCAAATCTCTGGAATTAAGTTCTGGGTCAAATATTTATAATCTGAATTGGACAGAAGAGTGACACACTACACACCTTGTTCTGACAGCCTGACACTGAGTTCAGTGGCAGACCTCATGCTCACAAAATGTTTGTAGTTCATCAATCCTAGTAGCAAAATTATTTTACAAATATCCAATCCTAATAAAATAATTCTTGACATGACAAAATCTATTTCTACTCAATTAAAAACAGTACATAAATTTACTTTAACCTTTAATGTTTTTGGAACATGGGAAAATAATCTCTGGAACTGAGGGAACAGAGAAAAAAGGTAAATTACGGTTGTAAGGGTTAATACATTTTACAAAACAAACTTTTTCGGTTATAGCTAAAGGAAATACCTTTTTTATAATATTCAGTGCATTTAAAAGATTGTTATCTAAAAGATTTTCAATTTTAATATATAGTCAAAATATAACAAAAGTGATATGTTATGTTTTAAAGAGTTACAACATTAGATCACAAACCCACAACCATTGTGACTTAATTTAGAGCTTGTAAAAATAAACAAAGCTGTGGCCAAATTATTTTGAACCCCAAGAGTTCTCTGATTCTTGTTAACAAAAACAATGAACCCTAAAAGTTCTCAGATTCTTGTTAACAGAAACAATGAACCCCAAAAGTTCTCAGATTCTTGTTAATAAAAACAATGAATCCCAGAGTTCTCTGATTCTTGTTAACAAAAACAATGAACCCCAAAAGTTCTCAGATTCTTGTTAACAAAAACAATGAACCCCAAAAGTTCTCAGATTATTGTTAACAAAAACAATGAATCCCAAGTTCTCTGCTTCTTAACAAAAACAATGAATCCCAAGTTCTCTGCTTCTTAACAAAAATAATGAATCCCAAGTTCTCTGATTCTTAACAAAAACAATAAATCCCAAGAGTTCTCAGATTCTTGTTAACAAAAACAACACACAAAAAAATAGTGTAAAGAATCTTATCAACATTATTTACAGTTGGGATAAGATGCTGGACAAAGCCTTCAGCAGTCGGGTATTCTTCATAAAATCAAACATCAGATGTAAACTATACTTATCTTTACAAATTCCTGCACAAAATATATTTCTAAGTATATTTTTTACATTGATTATGAAATCTGCATTAGATTTGGTTAGGTATGATAAATCATGTGCAAGTAGTTACAAAAAAAACTTCTGAAGAAAATAACTCTTCTCAATTAAAGATCTTGGCTCAAGCTCATCATGATCTGTTCAATAACCTCTCATATGTGTACGGACGGCGTGTCATCATTCTCTAAATCCACTTTGTACGTTGCTTGTGTCTTGCGGGGATTAGTGAAGTTTTTGTATGCCCATGGCACGTGCCGTAAGTAACCTGAAAAATAAACATTAAATTTGACGAAGCTGATGAAACCATCTTTTTAGGACAGACAGGTCATTATTCTTCGACTTATTGACTAATTTTTTATTTAAGTCAACTTTTAACTGATTTGTAAGTTAAATCTTAAAATTATAAGTCAACTGCTGATTTAGATCCAATTGTCATATTTATTCAACAGCTGATCAGTTTAAGTTAAAGTAATTTTATGGGCATTTTTTAGCTTGGCTAAGACATAAGAATGGACTGTGTGTGTAGTACGATGCTTATCAAAGTAAACTAGGTATCTCTTAGAGCTGCATGGACTCAACCTGCAGTTGCAACCCAAAAATATGACTTTAAGATTCTCTATTGCATGCTCTTACATTTAATTAACTTACTGTAGCCAGTCAAAAACCCACTAATGACTACTTTAGAAAGAGAAGAGTTACCTTTCTTGATGGCCCACCACATGATGACAGCAGCTATGACTGTGATTGTGACACCCATGGCTACTGGTATTCCTACAACCAAGCCATACTTCAGATGGGTGTTATATTCACGATCAATAACTAATGGGTAGCCTTCAGAAACATGAAAATAAATTTATCATATATATATATATATATATATCTATATATATCTATCTATATCTATATATATATCTATATATATATCTATATCTATCTATATATATATCTATATCTATATATATATATATATATATATATATATATATATATATATATATATATATATATGTATATATATACGTATAACATAAATGATTAGCTTTTGCAATATTAAGTTTTACAAAGTGCCCTTTCACACCAGACCATGCACACATAAGATTAATGAAGTCCATCTGTTTGTTTAGGTAGGACAGATGAAGAGATTGTATGGTAAAGAAATGTTCCCTTGCTTTTACTTCATCAAATTTGAGTCAGGTGTACTCATCAGAGCTGAGTGGGACTAGATTGGGAACCAAACTTTAGACTTTCCGGTCAGCAGTTGTGTGCTCTACCACATCATCCCAGAACCAATGTTAAATCAGTGATATCAACAGATGTATTACCTCACACCAACACTTTGTCAATTTTTAAAATTAAGTTTTACCATTTTACTGGTAAAAAAATCAATGTTAATAAGTAGTTTTAGAAAGGTGACTTAAAATTAACACAAGTATAAAACTTATTTTGAAAAGGCAGAGAACAAAAAAAACTTTAATAAAAGTATATTACCAGAAGGTGACAGCTTAACTACTCCCAGGGAGTCGAATGTATCTGAACTAACATTTCCCAGAAAATAATAGTTTTCTTCAGCAGGCAAAAACATCCCAACCACTTTCAAATTGGTGTCATTTTGAAACTGAGCCTGCTTGTGCCATGTGACATCTTCCGTGAAGATTACCGTTTTGTTGTCCACCGACGTTGCTGCAAGCAAGAAAAAAATAACTATTTTGAGCTGTACTAATTGGAAATACTAACAAATATCTCAAATTAGATTACTTAAACAACCATTGTTCTGGTAACCACTAGCATTAGCTCTAACATTAATTGAAGTGTTATTTTTAAGAGTAATAATTTGGCTTGGAAATAAAATTAGTATGTGCATTCTTTACATTACTGATTTTTACCGTATTAATTTGGGTATTTTTTATAAAGGTATAGAATTGTTTTAATTTCTGAAAATTCGATAATACTTTTAAACCTGAACATTTATATTAAAGTATATTTTCACCTAACTAGGTAATACACTTCCAATATAAAATATTTTATTGCTGCCTGGGTATTGAATAGTATTTGATCGTCTTGGAGGAAAAATGAGTTGAAGGTCAAAGGCCAATGTTTACATTACCTGCCATCTCAACATAGAAGTTCTCAGCACTAAATGCCACCAGAGCTATCCCATCGTTATCAAAATAAACAGAGTGGACCTCCAGCATACAATTGGATATTTCCCCATTATGTGTGATGCTGCCTTTCCATTCTTTATAGTGCAATAGTAGATTTTTCCACACTGGAATAATACCTCCTGTAGAAGATAAATTGCCAATTGTAAAAGGTTTTTTAAAACATTGAGCTATGTTTAAAATCACATAAATAAGAAACAGAGTATTAGCCTATTTGGGGTTAGCAAGTCATTTGTTATGTAGTATGTATAATGTAGGCCTGTGAGTATTTTAATACTTTGGTTAGTTAACTAGTAGGCCTAATTAGACGTTAATTGCTCTCTAATTTGAGCCTGAGGGAAAAACTCCATTTTAGCGTATTTAATACGCCGCTTCCCTTACACCTATGGTTGAGTGTATTTTATTAAAAACACAACCGAAACACAAAAAAACATTTAGAAAACACAAGGATTAGATATAGATCTACTTTTTTTTTATGAATATGTGTTTTAATTAGAAAAGGTAAAAAACATTATAAATTAGCATTAGGCCTACAGTTCCAATAAAATAGTGTGTGATTGTCGGTGTGAGAAAAATCTGTTCACGGTCGAGGGTTCACTGTGAGTTCACATTGACTTTAATTATCAGCATATGTCATAGCTTGGGCAATTGCTAGATCTATTTGAAATTGTGGTGGCCTCAGTTTTGGGAGCATTGTGAGTTCATATATGTTTATTTATAGTATCATGCTTGCGAGATACTTTTAACAATACAAACTTAACCGCTTTGCAATTATGAGTTTGGTACTTTACACATCGCCATGGAAATCTCAACTGACATGAACATATTTTCAGGAGTAAAAAAAAAAGCTAAATCTAGATCTAGAATCTGGATCCAAATAGTAACTAATAGTGCACATTCAATGATTCCAAATTTGGATTTTTCTCAAGTTTTGACCAAAGTAAATTATCTTCTAAAACTAAAATTCATAAAGAAATACTAAATTTAGTAAATAAATAGTAAAATAGGGCTAGGCTTTTTAATTTATAACGTTTGTGTGTGTTTTGGACGCTCAACTTGAGGAGAACGTGACGTGAAGCGGGGAATAAAATACGCTAAAATCAACTAGATCTAAAAATTATTTTATGGTAATCAAATCTAGATCTAGATCTACACACCTATGGTCAATGTACACATAAATAAAAGCAAAATAAGTGTCCTTAGAAGCATTTTTCAGCTTGTTTCTTTAATCTTTATTTTTAGGCCCTATTGTCAAAATCATGAGTTCCAGATAAATGTACAAAATATAAATCAAAAAAGTTTCTCCCAAAAATATATCCCTAAATTTGCGGTTTTGTGTTTATGTCAACCATGTATTGATTATAATATATCATACTCAAACAACTATTAGATCTAACTAATATTATTCGTTTTTCTAGCATGAATGGTACTTCTCGAAAGAAAACGAAAAGACAGATTTTTGTGTTTCTTAGGTAAATTGTGCCAATGTGGTACGCCTGCTAAACATTGGCCACCCTTTGTTTTGTGAAAATGTATGGGTCCCATTTCCTCATTCTTTGATACAATTCAAAGGAAAATATGAAAACATTTATTTGACAAAGCCGCGACCCCCAGCAACAGCGATCGGTTTTCTACAAGCTTTTAGAAATAGTTATTTACACGTCTGTCTTTTGGCTGGAATCATAGTTTTTATTTTATAGACGAGATCGTTATCTAAAACTAGCCAATGTAACAATATTTTGAGATGAAAGATTGTCCGTCTGTGTGTGTGTGTGTGTGTGTGTGTGTGTGTCCGTGTGTATCCTTTATGCATTAAGTCAACGTTCGTTCGAACGCTATGGGACTTTGGAATGTTATTGGGTATATTCCTAGGAAGGTTTCTGAAAGAAAAAAATCTTAGGGGTGGCGCCCTCGCAGTGAGCGATTTTTCCAATATACAGTTGATAGAAATAAAAGTCAGATGCGGTTTGACGCCCCAAATTCCCGAGCGGCTATCTTAGCATTTGATTTCTGTTGATTGTGCCTCTGCTTGATTCAACGTTAAAACTGCACCCCGGACTCCCCGTGAACACTATGGCGCCTACGTTCGTTTTAAGGGGGTATACTCTGAGGGGGAAAAACAATTCTTAATTAATAAGCATTTTTAATTTCTTTGTGTGTATCTAAGTTAGGGCACTTAAGGGAAAATATTTGCACGCATTAGGGACCCTTCTTAACAAATGATTGCCATAGCAACGCGGCGGCCATCTCGGAAAAACAACCTTTTGTGGAGGTATCAATGTTAAACAACGGTCATATATATTTATCATATAATCATTGATCCTTCTTTGTGTAACTCTATTGAGTTAGCTGGCTAGTTTTTGTAACAGAAAACTCTGTAGAAATATTTTTCTCAAATTTAAAAAATTTGGTATGGGGAATTTAGCATTAATTTTAATGGTATTTCAATATATCAAATTTTGTAAATTTGGACCTGGGAGACGTGACATGGAAGAACCACCAAGAAGATAGGATACACGTGGGGACAGTTGGAAAAACTTATAGCCCAGGACAGAGATGCGGAGGTCCCTGGTCTCAGGAGGGGAGACAGGCTAACCTAATCGATCTCTAGAAGTTTATTAACAGTAAAATATACTATACGATATCGTTTAAAAAAATTGAATACGCAATTTGCAAAATTATATTTACATTTCGAAATATGATGGTACATAGTTGTCAAAAAGGTGTTATACATTTTTTTCTAGAAGATAAATAACTAAATTTTAAAGGTCGTCATTTCCTTATCCCACTGATAGTTTTTCACCTAAACTCTATAGCCTAAGCAGACGCTATTTTCATTAGCCGTTTAAGTCTGATCGTGAATTCGATACATTCGCACCACTGCTTTGTGTATATGTAAGCCTTCATCACCAAGTCCGTGAGCTTAATTAAAAATCTGAACATCTGTCTAGTAATCGATGGGAATCACGTGACGACTAAACGCACTAGGACATTGTTGTACCTGGGTTGTGTGGGTGTATGAAGATGCGCCGTATGGAAAACATGTTGCCTGTTGAATTGTAGATGTATCTTTTACAGGGCTATGTGAGTATATGTAAACAGTATGCATGTTAGTTAAACATATGCGTGTCAGTTGAACATGCGTGCCAGTTAAAACCATATGTATGTCTGTTAAACATATGCATGTCAGTTAAGCCATATGTATGTCAGTTAAACCATATGTATGTCAGTTAAGCCATATGTATGTAGGTTAAACCATATGTATGTCAGTTAAACATATGTATGCCTGTTAAACATATGTATGTCAGTTAAACATGCGTGTCCGCTGAACATGGTTGTCAGTTAAACATATTTATGTCAATTAAACATATGTATGTCAGTTAAACATATGTATGTCAGTTAAACATATGTATGCCTGTTAAACATATGTATATCAGTTAAACATGCGTGTCAGTTAAACATATGTATGTCAGACATATGTTTGTCAGTTAAACATATGTATGCCAGTTAAACATATGTATGTCAGTTAAACATATGTATGTCAGTTAAACATGCGTGTCAGTTGAACATGCGTGTCGGTTAAACATATGTATGTCAATTAAACACATGTATGTTAGTTAAACATATGTATATCAGTTAAACATATGTATATCAGTTAAACATATGTATATCAATTATATCAGTTAAACCATATGTATGTCAGTTAAACCACACGTGTGTCTGTTAAACCATACCCGTTAAATCATATGTTAGTCAGCCATATAAACGTTATGTCTGAAATTAAATTTTCGTGCCTAAATCTGTTGTCAACATCATTAAAAAAGAATTAACTTTAAATTTTTTGAATAGCCAAGTAAACATCAATCCTCTCATACACACCATTTTCGCGATGAAATTATCAATACATTTTACTCTTATATATAGGTCTTATAGAACTAATTATTTTTATCTCTTTGATTGTTTTAATTTTCTTCAAAAGTTAAAATTAAAAAAACTTATTTAATGGTGGTATTTCTAAACAGTTGACTATCTTATAAAGCAAACAGGCAAGTTTCTGAAATATTTTCTTGTTTTGATTATGTTTGTGTTCCATGTTTTGCTACATTCAAAATGTTGAAGACGTTGGGGTAGAGGGAAATTCTGTCATAAACCATTTCCTTGTTTTGCAGAATTTGCAGAATTGCAATTATTAAACAACTATGCTTTAATTAGAGTTATTAATAAGCCAAGATTAATTAGAGTTGTTAATAAGCAAAGATTAATTCAGAACTCACACTTCTGTCAAATATAAATATCCGATCGTCCGGATGTGAAAAATAAAATTAAATGGCTAGAGTAATTTACTTCTCCGAGAATAATTCATTAACATGAATATTTAGTAATTTAGTTCATTTAATAATCTGAGAATAATTAACGATTTAATTTTTGGACAGCAGTGTATATGCATTATATATATATATTAATCTAAGTATATATATATATATATATATATATATATATATATATATATATATATATATATATATATATATATATATATATATATATATATATATATATACATTTAGATAGCTTCTAAATATATATCTATATCATATATATATATATATATATATATATATATATATATATATATATATATATATATATATATATATATAGTGCATATATATATATAGTGCATATATTTAAGTATATATAAGGCGTATATACATATATATATATATATATATATATATATATATATATATATATATATATATATATATATATATATATATATACGCCTTATATATACTTAAATATATGCACTATATATACATATATATAATATATATATATATATATATATATATATATATATATTTAGAAACTATCTAAATGTATATCAATATATATATATATATATATATATATATATATATATATATATATATATATATATATATATATATATATATATATATATATATATATACGCCTTATATATACTTAAATATATGCACTATATATACATATATATATAATATTATATATATATATATATATATATATATATATATATATATATATATATATATATATAGAAACTATCTAAATGTATATCAATATATATATATATATATATATATATATATATATATATATATATATATATATATATATATATATATATATATATATATATATATATATATATATATATATATGTATATATATATATATATATATATGTATATATATATATATATATATATATATGTATATATATATATATATATATATATATATATATATATATATATATATATATATATATATATATATATATATATATATATATATATGCGAGCCATCTCGACTAGCGTGAAACCCGGCTAGATATCTAGGGAGTAAGCAACAAAATGGAAATATGATAACAGATCTATTGCCCGAAATTCAATAAATCTGTTTATCTCGGTGAAAGCATTGAAAGCGACTTTACTCGTCAGAATGTGTTATGTAGCTTACTCCTAGCCTCGACTTAGATTATTTCCCCACCACACGCATAACGGGAATCCAATCTCAAATGTCTAAGCTGTCTCCGACTTTCAGAGAGACCCTCCCTCCCCGTGAAATAAACGCCTTAAAAATCCCCACCAAAGCCGACGACCCCGAGCGCCTGTACAGATGAGTAGAGACTGACGCACTACCTAGCGATCGTATACTACGGAAACCTACGAGTCCCCGAGTGAGCCGGAGTTATATCATATAATTTACTAGCCGTTCCGGCCAGGCCCTGCTCTGGCTTCTGTGAAAAACCTTTCTGTTAAAGACCATTACCTGTGTGTTTAGTAATCATCATAAACCCGGCACTGCCCACCCAAACCACAACCAACCAAAACAACAAAACGCAAACATAACGCTAACACAATTACAAATACAAACGAAAACAAAAACAAAAACCTAACAACAAACCCAACCACAAACACCAATACAAACACAAAGAAAAAACAAACAAAAAAGGAAACGAAAACACAAAAACCTAACAAAAAACACAACCACAACACCAATACGAACACAAAGAAAAAACAAACGAAAAAGCAAACGAAAACAAACCAAATCCAAACGCAAAACCAACCACAAACACAAACCCAAACAAAAAAACACAAACGAAAAAGCAAACGAAAACAAACCAAATCCAAACGCAAAACCAACCACAAACACAAATACAAACACAAACCCAAAGAAAAAAACGAAAACGAAAAAAGCTTAATAATCGACTATAGTACCCCAACTTA